CCATCATTGTCTTCAGTGAATCACTATCTCACAACAGACCTAGTTGAACTCCACTAGTTACTACTTCTCACTAGAACTCCAGGAAATACCTATTGAATATTTATTTATCTTCGCGCAAGTGATAATATCCATTTTAAAACATAATGAATTAATCATTATCTTTCTAATCAGTTACTTCCCACTTTGTTACTGGTTACTAAAGAATACAAATTATTAGGCAGATCAACTTCATGTATATTTTTCTTGTACATGAAATGGATTATGTAAGCATGGCTAAGTTGTGAAAGATTATGGTATACAACTCACCGTTTTAAGTGCTCAATTTTAAGCAAATATTATTGTCATTATTGTTATCACGGCTGTGTAAATAATAATAATAACAACCTACTGTGAGAGAGAAAAAAACAGATTCCAGTGGAGGAAGAAATCAGGAAGAAGCGCTGAAAGTTGGCAGGACACACATTGAGGAAATCACCCAACTGTATCACAAAACAAGCCCTCAGATGGAATGCTGAAGGCCAAAGAAGAAGAGGAAGACCAAAGAACACATTATGCTGAGAAATGGAGACAGACATGAGAAGAATGAACAAAAGTTGGATAGAATTAGAAAAGAAGGCCTAGGACAGAGTGAGTTGGAGAAATCTGGTCGGTAGCTTATGTTCCATTAGGGGTAACAGGCGTAAGTAACTAAGTAAATAAATAATCGGGTAGTTTTTTTTTCATAAGAGCTTCAATATTACCTAGTCTTATTATTGATTAAATTGCTTTAGGCTTGTAGGATTGATAGCTTACTTTCACTAGTAACTAACGTAATACAGTCAAGATCATAATGTCATTTGTTCCTGGAATTGTTTTCAATCTAATACCCAACAGGTAGACGAAATTATGAAACAGATATGATCATTATAGTGCAGCCGTTTCGTTGCATTAGTCAATACATACAATGTGATAGAGTTATTTCCTCAACAAATGCCAATATGAGTAGGAAATCAAAATATGCACATGAATAAAAGAGAAACTATGTGATAGGTTCATAGTTAATTTATTGTAACCTGAAAAAGATAAAACAATCGTTTATAGTTCAAATTAAAGATTACCATTAGGAGAATATAAAGATACAATAATGCACATATCTAATGGGTTTCACTGATAGCCACTATCCATCTTTGCTTATAAGGTAATATCAAAGCAGTCCTTACAGGATACACATATGACAACAAGTGATTGATCAATGGCAGTCCTAAATAACAATGAGAAGATATAAGTAAACAACACCAAATGGTATCTTCATAAGATACTTTCATAAGTTAAAGATTTCTGAATGTTTGTCCAATTATAACATCTTTGTATAAATAACTTCATATTCACTTAGTATTGTTTGTTTGAATCGTCCCATTGATGCTTTTAAGACTGCAACTGGTCAGTCTCTAATTAGCATATGTACATACTGTGCGAATTGCCTCGATGTAGCCTTGATTCACAAGCATGATAAACAAAGATGGATAGTGACTAACAGTGGTAAAAATCCCAGAGTGAACATCAACTCTGAGATGCAGGTACATCCAGCTGACAAGTCCCAAATAGAACGAAAAGTCACGCGTCCTGGATTCCACTGCTAGCCACTATTCATCTTTGATTAATAACTTCATATATTTGTAATATCCCAATCAGAAGAAAATTAAATTTTCTGACGTTTCGTAACTTAGTGTAAGCTACTTCTTCAGAGTAAATAAATAACCCAATACTTAAATTATTCGAAACCTTGGTAATGATATCTACAATTTCTGTATAAAATATGATGATTAACTGATGTTAATGAGATTTTTTTTAAAAACTGAATAATTGTCTATAAAAGAAATGAGATCAAGACAAGGAAGTATACGTAATTATATATGAGCAGTTATGCATTTCACAATCAAACAACTAGTATTTAATATTCTTTTAATTAATGAACTAATAAGCTGAAAATCAAGTGTAATGCTGACTGTTGAGGAGTTCCATAATAGGACGAAACAGACGTCAAGCAGTGCTTTCAGGTTTTCTATGGTGATCTAACTTCAATTGATTCATGATTTCAATCATGAAAATAATGTGAATTAACCTATTTCCTTTTAATTTTAATTGAGGCTTCATCCAATGATTAACTATTACGTAAGATTATAAGAATATATTGAGTTAATTTCATGTAGTAGTTAATTAATTTATACTAGTTTCTAGTTCATCAAAGTGTTACGTCTGGCCGATTGTGAACTCTATATTCGCTTCCCTAAACTAGTTCCGTACCCCCGAGTTAGAACTATACACCGACTTGAAAACCAGAGAAAAGACACAAAGAGTGAAGGAAGCACTTTACTACAGGGTTCATTTATGTACAGAAAATATGGGGATTTTATAGTAATTTAAGAGACCTTTAGTTTTACCGAAAGTTCTAGAACATTGCTAAACATAGTAGCAGTATATTAATCAGCCAATCAGGATCTCTACATGTGACTTTTCCATTTTCGTTATTTTAGTAACATAACTTCACATAACTTCTAATTAATCGCTGATTGGTTGAAATGCTCCTTGATGACTCCTGAGCTTGTCATGTCGCTTGCGAGAAAATTGCAGGGTCATCCCAACACAAAGTATCAGTTGTTTTCAGGATGTGGTTTAGTGTAGATTTTTATAATTTATTAGTTAAATTCATGAATCAATTAAAACTAGATCATCGTGAAGAATCTGAAAGCACTGCTGAGGAGTTCCATACTAGGATAAAACGTCTTTTCAGTGCTTCCACGTGTTCTATGGTGTTCTAGGTTTAATTGACTAATGAAATCAACTATTATATCATTTATTTGTTAGAATATTGACTGATGATCACTTTTTATGAAGTTCCAAAGGTGTCACAGTTTACATGTTTGTTTTTATTTCGAAACGTTTCATAATTACATTATTAAAGTAGTCAACTAATTCAGAAAGATACGACTTACTAAACATTTACTTAATTACTTACGCCTGTTACCCCTCGTAGTGGGGTGTAGGCCGCACATCAGCATTCTCTATCAAACACTGTCCTGAGAAATCATTTCCAGTTCTTTCCAGTTCTTATTCCTTCTTTTTCATATCTGCTTCTATTTCCCGACGTAATGTGTTTTTTGGCCTTCCTCTTTTCCGCTTCCCTTCAGGATTCCAAGTTAGGGTCTGCTTCGTGATGCAATTTGGTAATATCCTGAATGTCCGATCCACTTCCAACGTCTTTTCCTAATTTCCTTTTCAGCTGGAAGCTGGTTTGTCCTCTCCCACAAAATGCTGTTGCTGATAGTATCCGACCAGCGAATGTTGAGTATTTCGCGTAGACAACTGATAATAAATACTTGTACCTTCTTGACGATGGTCGCAGCAGTTCTCCACGTTTCAGCTCGGTACAGTAGTACTGTCTTGACGTTCGTATTGAAGATTCTCACTTTGACGTTAGTTGACAGATGTTTTTAGTTCCATATGTTCTTCGATTGTAGGAATGAGGTTGCTGCTTTGCCAATCCTCACCTTTACATATGCATCAGATCCTCCGCCTGTAGCTCTTCTACAGTTACTGCCGGTCTCAAACCCGGGTAAAGAAGGAGGGCTGGGCATGGGATTAGCTGTCCTATCCCGTAAAAAACTAGCTCGGTAAAAAACACTAATCAGAAAAGGTAATTCAAACCGTTCAAACTCTGCCCTGAAAGTTGAAGGAAGAATTATGACGCTTCATTATGAAAGCCAAGATTTTCCAGAAGTCACAAGATCGACACCCTCCCCTAACTAAACATTTAGTATGCCAATATTCTCTTGACTTTAATACAAGAAAAAATTTGGCTAAGTATTTATAAAGAGCATTAATTTTAACAGTTGAGATCATGAGTTAATTAAAGCTAGACCACTATGGAAAACCTGAAAGCACTGAACGGACGTTTCATTTTATTGTGAGACTCTTCAGCAGTGTGTATCCACGATCCAGTCTAGCGAGATTCAAACCCACAATTAACTTTTTTGAAAAAATAAAACTGGAAAAATTCGTTAACATATCCAAATTACAATCTATTAACATATTACTATTGATCACAGTTGAAAGCGTGAGTCAATTGAAGCTAGACCACTATGGAAAACCTGGAAACACTGGAAACACTGAAACACTGTTAGATCCTGGGTTCGAATCTTGCGAGTGCGTGATCGTGGATGCGCACTGCCACTGAGGAGTACCATAATAGGACGAAACGGTCGTCCAGTGTTTCTAGGTTTTCCATGGTGGTCTAGCTTCAATTGACTCACGCTTTCAACTATGATAAATACTAAATCTCCAAAAATGCCCCCAAATGCCCTGGTACGACCGACAGTGGGGATAGTCTGCTCTCCCTCTCGAAATGCTCTCATATGGCCACGCGAATATATAGCCTCTGCCACACAAGTCCTACTCACTGCCTTCTCGTGGTGGGGTTGTTGTTCACAAAAGTGAGAGGATGAAAAGCGAATGTTCGGCGCTTTAACCGGGTTGGTGAATGTGGAGGATCCACCTAGGGGAGTTGGAAAACCCTGATTCCAAACCAATGGTGCACATGGGCTCCAGTATCCTGAAGGAACGAATAGCGTATGAGCCAACTGTTGGTCACCGGCTACCATGGGACTGCATCTCCTCATGATGCTCCACTGCCTTGTGGACTAGACCTTTAAGTTAAACGCTCCGGGTGTGGCCCCCTAAGAAAACCACCTGCTTCAGTTTGGGCACCTGGGCAGTATCACAGCCCTCACACAAATCGAATGAGATTTGTAAGGCGCATACATATCTGATGCCCCACTTTGTACCAATATTTATGTGTTTAAATAAATTAATTTTTAAAAAAATCTCCACAAAACCCCTTTTCATAATTAATATTACTATTGGTTAAGATTAAGAAAAAACTTTTCACCAATCAGATTGTTGGTTTCTTCAGAAATATATTCTGTTTTTTTTTTCAATTTCTAGCATTAAAATTAAAAGAATAACAAATAGTTACTATGATTAGTTTCATTTAAAAACCACTTAGCAACTAAACAATATATACATATATCGATCAATTACATGTTAAACATGATAAACAGTATTAGAACAAACTGAGAAAAAAAAAACTACCCTAAGAACTAATAATCAATAAATTAATATTTTAATCAATGATCAATGTTCATCAAAGATTCGAATCGGGGTTTTGTCCCTTTTTTTGTTTGTTTTTCTTTTGAATGAAAAATTCATTTGACAACAATATAAAAATCAATAATTTGATTTAATGATGAATATAGACAATAGAAGTTATGTAACATTTGTACCATTATATGGTTTAACCCATTTATATATAACATGTATCATACTTGGTATTATAATAATTTGTACAATTATTGGAAATATATTTGTTGTTATTGCAATTTTAATTGATCGACAATTACAAGTAAGTTTTGTTTTCTTTTAGTGTTGTTATAGTTGCTACCTTTCTCTCCCTCTTCCTCACAACTCTCTGTTCCTCTCCCTACCTCTTTCTTTTCCTCCCTCTCGCTCTCCCTCTCCCTCCCTCCCTCCCTTTTTCTTTCTTTCTCTGAATATCTTAGTTTTTTGTTACTTCCATGATATTTATTAAATTATCTGATGAATTAAGATTACTAATTTGGATTATTGTTACCAATTTTAAATAATCAATAATAATCAGAAGGGGTTTTGTGAAGATTTTAGTATTATCATGGTTGAAATCATGAATTAATTGAAGGTAGACCACTAAGGAAAACCTGGAAGCACTGCTTGACGGTCGTTTCGTCCTATTATGGGACTACTCAATAGTGCACATCCACAATCCCTCCTCACGAGATTCGAACCCAGGATCTACCAGTCTTGCGCCAGAGCACTTAACCAATAGACCACTGATGTGGCCGGCATCCAATCAATAATATTTTAAATATGATTGATTCATTGAACGTTTTCATTGATACTTAAGACAATAATTGACAAGTTTATTTTGGTATATGAATATTAACTCTAGGATTTAGATATGTTCAACTGATGAGTTCCAGATAAGATGAAACACTTAACCTAGATCGTATTCCTTGCTGCTATCTATTAATGTTTGAAAATTATCATTGTATGCTTGTTAACGAATGTGTAATTACACTATATTTGTGTAATTTGTTAAAGATTGTTTGGATTGGTTGGAGTTAGACATAAACACCATCGGATGCCGGCTCAATGGTCTATCGGTTAAGTGCTCTGGCAAGAGACTGGTAGGTCCTGGGTTCGAATCTCGTGAGGCGAGGTCGTGGGTGCTCACTGCTGAGGAGTCCCACAATAGGGCGAAACGGCTGTCAAGCAGTGCTTCCAGGTTTTCCCTGGTGGTCTACCTTCAATTGACTCACGCTTTCAACTATGAAAATACTAAGCCTCTACAAAAAATCCCTTCTGATATCATAATATTTAGTCTTTTTACTAAAACTCATATAATTGACAAAACAACGGTATGTGGACTTGATAGGCATTTTCAATCAGAGCAGTTGTTCTCTCGAATTCATACGATATGAAATATAATCTTTAGTTTGTTTCATCAAAACAACCAGTTATTTATGTTACATGCAAACAGATTGATGAGGATGCTTTTAGAGGTGGTTTGGTGAAATGCAGTTGTTAACCAATCATTTAAGGCCACAAATTATTGAGCAGATGTTTAGTTTTAATATGAGACTTCCCAGAAATGCTCTCTCACAAACTCCCAATCTATCCAACTAATAACTTACAAATCTCTTAGTGATTTCTAATAAAACAAGTAAGTTGGAACCTGATGCTTGTTTATAGTTTAAACACTGAAAGCCATATGTTAGTATATGAGACGCGAGTGACAGATACTTCAATAAGTGCCTACCTATCAATCTTAGTAGACCTAGATGCTGAAAACTATAAGAGATTTCTGAAGAAAAACCTTAGCGTGCTGCATATTTATTTTGATGATTATTTACACACCACCCAGTCATTGGTACCTTTTAATCTTTACCCCGAAGATATGAAAAGTCTTCTATTTTTTTCTTATAATTTAGTTTCCAGCTTACCGACTAAATTTGATTGCTGGTGTAATATTTTGATGGTAAAATGTAACAGAACTCAACAAAAGCTGAAATAAATATTTAATACTTCACTTAGTTTTATTTGTTTGAATCTTCCCATTGATGTTTTTAGGACTGCAACTGGTCAGTCTCTAATTGGCATATGTGAATACTGTGCATATGGGAAGATTCAAACAAACAATACTAAGTGAATTCAAACTTCACCTCATTGCACAAGCAAGTTGATATCAAGAAACAGTAGCTGAGTGGCATTTGAAGCGAAAGGTACTGGGTTCGAGTTCCAGAATGAACATCAACTCTGAGATGCAGGTACATCCAGCTGACTAGTCTCAAGTAGGACGAAGTGTCGTGCATCCTGGATTCCACTGTTAGCCACTATCCATCTTTGCTTATAAATATTTAATACTATTTGAGCTAAATTAAATCATTTGTATATAATATTTATTTTATTCATTGTATTCACTTCTTCTCCTTTTGTTCTACAGCGTGTTTCTAACTATTTGATACTGAGTTTAGCTGTGGCTGATTTAATGGTTGCAATACTTGTTATGCCAGTTAGTGCCCTAAATGAAGTCTCAGAGAAATGGTGGCTTGGTAAGTATTTTAATTGAACAACATATATACTCAAATTCTGATTTGTATTCCAAGAACAAATAATGTCAAGAAGGGGTTTTTGTGGAGATGCTCACTGCTGAAGAATCCTATAATAGGACGAAACGGCCGTCTAGTGCTTCCAGTTTTTCCCTGGTGATCTAGCTTTAATTGACTAATGCTTTCGACTATGAAAATAATGTCAAACTATATTCAATTAACATCTATATTAGATAACTTTATCAATTAACTATTCCTAATAATCATCAATCCTTGAGGAATACCTCAAACAACTCATAGACTGTTCAGTAAATACTTAGAAGAACTAAAATACTTATCTGATCAGAAAGGTTAGAAGATTTTGAATTTGGTCAAAATCAATAGAGAAACCATCAAAGAATGCACATATGAAGGTTTAAGCTAATAAACGAAACATTCATTAAATAGAATACTATACAAAAGGAATATCTTTCGAACGGTATGACTTAGTTTCTTCGAAATCAGTATTTGTTGTGAACTAACTCTAATTTTTAAAAAGAGACTTCTTATGTATGGTTGACTGATTCAGAACATGAATTTCAAGAAAGATTTCATTTTTAAAACAGTTGAATTCATGAGTCGATTAAAACTAAACCAATATGGAAAACCTGGGAACACTGGATGGTTGTTTTATCATAGTATGGGACTCCTCAGCAGTACGTATCCACGATCCCACACCTGGAACTTATACCCGGAACCTATTGATTTCATGCCCTTAAGCCTAAGCTGTAGACCACTGAACTGGCCGACATCCAACGTTGTTAATTCCTAACGTCACTGGTGGGTCACTTCGTCCTGTTGTGGGACTCTTCAGCAGTGCGCATCCACGAGTTCGCCACGCAAGATTCGAACCCAGGATCTATCAGTCTCGAGCGCGAGCACTTAACCGATAGACCACTGAATTTGCCCTATATCCAAAGGTGTTAATGTCTAACTTCAACCAATCCATGAAATTGTGCGACCACCCACAATTGTCCTTACTGATTTATTATTTCACAACAGACCCGGTTGAACTCCACTGGTCATGGTTTCTCACTAATAAACAGTTTACATATATTGTACTTATTATAACAAATTTAACTGGATATATTTTTTAAACACAACAAATTGAAGTGAATCATTTCATTAACAATATCAATAGGGTCAGTAATTTATTTGTACAACTGTTTACTTTTCTATCATAAACATTTAAAGTACTTTGAAAGATCAAAAAGATTGGTCATTTTACAAAGTCAAATCGTTTAATTTCAAAATATATGATTCATATTTCATTTAATTACAACAGTTGTTCATGACAACCATATGGTGTTATGTAATTAGACTCCATTGTGAATGAATATTAAGTTGTATGGAAAAGTTTTTTCTCAATTAATCTTGATTTAATAGGTGTAGTTTACTTAGGGGTACACCCGAGAGTGGAGAGAATCAGCTCTCCCACTTCAAATGCTCTCATGTGGTCAGATGCATACAACCACTGACAGGGAAGTCTTACTCACTACTTTCTCTCAGCGAGAGTGTCGTTTACGAAATTGAGAGGACGAAAAGAGAATTTCAGGTGCTTTAATCGGGTTTGTAGACACGGAGTGTCCACCTATGGGGGTTGAAAAACCCTGATTCCATAGCAATGGTGAACATGAACTCAAGGATCTTGAGAGAACGAATGACGTATGAACCAGTTGTTAGTCACCGGCTACCATGAGACTGTAACTCCTGACGTTGGTCTACTACCTTGTGGATTAGACCTTCAGGTCAAAGGTTCGGGGTGTAGCCTCATAAGAAAACCACCTGCTTCAGTTTGGGAACCTGGTTAGAATTCCATTCGTCACACAAATCGAATAATTTATGTGGCGCATATTTATTTGGTTCCTCCTTATCCCAGTGTCTATGTGTTTAAATAAATAAATAAAGTTAAAGAGGTGTGTTTGTTTCTGATATATGACATTGTGATACTTTATCCAGTGTAACATTCATTTGTTTGAATGTGATATTTATGCAAGATACAATATTCTTGCATTAAAAATTGACCTCAATTATGCTAAGCATGATATGAAGCATGTGATTCCTTACATCTCTAGATATTTTTCATGTATGTCATTTCATCATAATTAATGATCAAAATGGGTTTACAATCAATGCATTGTAGACCATCAATGTTGATGATCTATGTTAAATGATTGGAGGTTTACTCGATTTAGATAGGAACGGTGTAACGAACAAGCTAACTTTGATGTTACACCTCGCGGTCAGTATCTAACGTGGATTATACCATTCGACGTATTAAAGTATTGTGTCTGCTTTGAAGACTGTATAACACTAAGAGCGTGATTACGTAAATATGTTAGTAAGAATGAGTACAGCGATTTTAATGAGATCACCATCTCATGAGCCAGTCCATAGCGTATGATTAACTGATGCGTGTTTTATTGTCCTTGACTTTAACAGGGATCGATGACCTGTTCGATATTCAGTGACCCAACTTCTGGATGATTTGGCTAGGGTTCAGTAACATTTCGCTGCCCCTACAACATAAATCAGTGTATTTTCGACTAGGGTCGTCATCATGTTTTGGGGCTAATAAATCTTCATTTGTACTAGTGTTCATGTCATTACTTTGCGTCGTAGGAATGGCAGTGGCTCTTTGTTTTACAAATACAAGTAATGAACGATTCTGACATATCAGTCAGCCACTACTAGACATAATGGTTTCTCGGATGAACTTTCCCATTTTCAGTAAGGGAGTATTTTTTCATAGTTGAAAACGTGAGTCAATTGAAGCAAGACCACCATGAGAAACCTGAAAGCACTGGACGGCCGTTTCGCCCTATTGTGGAACTCTTCAGCAGTGCGCATCCACGACCTCGCCTCGCCAGATTCGAACCCAGGACCTACCAATCTCACGCCAGAGCACTTCTGAGGAGTCATACAATTGGACGAAACGGACATCCAGCACTTCCAGGTTTTCTCTAGTGGTCTAGCTTCAATTGACTCACGCTTTCAACTATGAAAATACTAAATCTCCACAAAAAAACCCTTTTGGGTATTTTTCAATTTATACACTTTCAAAGGTTATGATGACTACATAGACATTTAAATATCGCAGTATTTTCTAAGTATTGTTCGAGTAAAACGATACTCACTTTAAATTTGCTGACTAAATACGCACAATGATTCGATACAACCAAACTAATTGTTATTGAGAAAAGGCTAATGCCCATACTTAACCATAAATATAAACTGGATGTAATCGATTACGCCACATCTCACTGTCGACTGGTTTATATATATGTAAGGTCACATTTGTGCATGGAGGAGTAATTACGATTTTTAGGTTATAGTGGTTGAGCATGTATCACAATGGCTACAAAATAAGTCAAACACAAAATTCATTTAGTATTGTTTTGTTTGAATCTTCCCATCGATACTTGTAAATTAAGGCTATATCGAGGCAATAAGCACAGTATGCACATATGCCAATTAGAGACTGACCAGTTGCAGTCCTGACACATCAATGGGAATATTCAAACAAAACAATACTAAATGAATTTAAACTTCACCCCATCGCGCAAGTAAGTGGCTATCACGACTCAGTGGCCAAGTGGATAACGCGATGGTGTTTGAAGCGAAAGTTACTGGGTTCGAGTTCCAGAGTGAACATCAACAATTCTGAAATGCAGGTACATCCACCTGACGAGTCCCAAATAGGACGAAGTATCGTGCGTCAAACTGGATTCCACTTCTAGTCACTACCCATCTTTGCTTATAAGTCAAACACAGTTGAAATAGGTCATTTGATTGATCTTAACTCACCCTTATGGCTTTGAATAAAAATTGATCAGTGAGACTATTAAGGTTCATCAAAGCCATTGCCACGCGGAAACTCAACTCACACCTCTTATATGTACTTACAATGGACCTGCCCTGGTAAAATTGATTTCTTTTCTAGGGTGATGTGATTCATTTTGTTTTATTTTTATTTTCTAATAAGTCTGGTTTATTATCAGAAGGAGTTTTGTGGAGATTTCAGTATTTTCATAGTTGAAAGCGTGAGTCAATTGAAGCTAGACTACCATAGAAAACCTGGAAGCACTGCCTAACGGCTGTTTTGTCCTATTATGGGACTCCTCAGTAGTGCGCATCCACGCGAGATTCGAGCGCAGGACATACCAGTCTCGCGTCAGAGCACTTTGCTAGTGCTTCCAGGTTTTCCCTGGTGGTCTAACTTTAATTGAATCACGCTTTCAACTGTAAGTCTGGTTTAACTATTACTTTTGAATTCTTGATAAATAAATATGTGACCAGATTGTTCGAAGCGTATTCAGGTTAAGAAATCATCTAATTTTAATAAACTTCCATTTTCTATTTCTAATTTCTCAGACGAATTTATTTCATGGTTGAATTCATGAGTTGATTAAAACTAGACCATCATGGAAAACCTTGAAAAATTGGATGGTTGTTTTCTCCTAGTATGGAACTCCTCAGCAGTGACCATCCACGATCCCACACCCGGTACTCAAACTCAGGACCTATTGGTCTCATGATTTTACACCTAACCTGTAGACCACTGAACTGGCCGGTATCCAAAGTTATTAATGTGTAACTTCAATCAATCCACAAAATTGCACCACCACCGTTGGATACCGGCTTAGTGATCTAAAGATTAAGCGTTCGCATGGAAAACCATATGTCCTAGGTTCGGATCTTACAATTGAGATCGTGGATAAGCATTGCTTGGGAAAAACGGCCATCCAGTGCTTCCATGTTTGTCATAGTGATCTAGCTTTAATTGACTAATGAATTTAACTATTAAATTACTACAATCTCTACAATTTGTTTGTTTCAAATGATAGTTAATTACACTTTATGCTAGTAATCATAACTAAACCTTTGGTGATTAAAAAAAGGATTCATTCAAAACTAATTCCCCCCCCCAATTAGTTGAGTAAATAATTCATCTCACTACTAGTGTTTAATAGGGTCTAGTCAAACGATTAAAGTAGATGCACACAGCTGAGGAGTCTCATAATAGGATGAAACAGCCATCAAGCAGTGCTTCCAGGTTTTCGATGGTGGTCTATCTTGAATTGACCCATGATTTCAACTATGAAAAATAAAACGATTAATTATATTCTTGTTTACATAATCATTCTAATAACTTTTTCTCCCATTTTCATAGGTGTACCATTATGTGATATATGGATAATAATGGATGTTTTATGTTGTACTTCATCTATTTTACATTTAGTTGCTATAGCAATTGATCGTTATTGGGCAATTACATGTGTAACTTATATAAGAGATCAAAAAAAGAAACCAATCTATATAATGCTTATTATTATATGGATATTATCTTTGATCATTTCATTACCAACCCGATTTCATAAATCAAGAAATGATCAGCTCTATAATGATGTTTATTATGCTGGTGAATGTAATATTAATAAAGATTATATATTTACTATATTCTCTACAGTTGGTGCATTCTATTTACCAATGACATTTTTAATTGGTATCTATGTGAAAATTTATCAAGCTGCTAGGAGACGAATACGTCGAAGAACTTTACGTGCTTTCTCTATAGTAACATCATCTTCCAACAAACTAACAAGGACGTTTACGGATTTACATGAAAGTGATGGTGATGATGAACATCATAACAGTAATCGTAAACACTTCTTTGAAAGATGTTCCATATGTGTAACCAATCTCTTTCTTAATAGTTGTCCATTAAGAGTGTTTACTGAAAGTAGTCCATCACCAACGAGTAATGAATATTTAGACATGACATCAAGTAATTCAGAAAAAGAAACTTCATCACCATACTTTAGTGTAGATACAGTTGGATGTTCTGACAAGTACAGCATGATTACATATTCCCATCATTTGAATCAACAGAATATCATGATGTCTCCAACTGAATGTCCAAATACTGAAACATTGAATGAGAACGATATAATGGAAGATTGTAATAGTTCTATGAATTATCCTAATTCAACCTTGTATGCATCAAAAACAATGATACATAATGAATTGAATGATAGATGTTGTCTTCATTTGAATAGTTATTTCCATCAAAATGATTCTACAGATGATTGTTTGAAACAAATAAATAACGAAATGATAGGACCTAATAATAGTTGTTCTTGTTCAACAATGAAGATTCATAATGATCACGATCTTACTGATAGAATGTCAATGTCTGGTAGAACCAGTACTGAAGATGTTACCAAAATCAAAGAAACAGATTTTCAATCTGTAAAATCCTTCAATAGATGTCTATCACCAAAGGATTATGAAAGAAGTAAGAAGAAAACCATTGTTGAAATGAATTACAACTTGAAACATAATTCTAATATCTCTGAAATGAAGAAAATTGAAAATCAATCTGAATCAGTACAGCTCTATGAAGCTTCACCTCAATTAAAAAGTATTATGATCACTCCGAAGAAATTCAACAAAGAATTATGTATTCCAAGTCCTATCCTATTCGATTCCGAAGAAATAACCAATCATTTGACATATTTGCAAATACCTTTTTGTGATGACATAGATCCATCTCATGACTCAATAAAATTATGTAATGAACTTAATCATTCTCATGATCATATACAAAGTAACCTATATCCAATATCACCTTATTTATCTTCAAATGAAAGTTTAATTAGCACCTATTCATATATGATATTTTATGAACAATCATTTAATCAAATCAGACCACCATTATGTTATGATCTTTATGAATATCATAAAATAGATCAAAATCAAATTAAAGATTTCAATCTAAAACCATTTCATCAACATATTACTCAATTCAATCAAACTAACTATTATAATAATAATATTAATAATAATAATAATAATAATAGTAATGATAACAATGTTATTGATAATAATAGTCATAAAATTAGTAATAATAGTAATAGTATTAATAGTAATAATTATACTACTAATAATAATACTAATAATAATAGTAATAATATTAGTAACAGTGATAATAATAGCAACAATAATGGTGGTAATAATAGTAAAAATAATATTATTAATAATAGTAATAATAATAGTAATAGTAAGAATTATACTACTTATAATAATTTTATTATTAATAATAATAATACTAATAATAATATTATTAGTAATAATAATAGTAATAATATTAGTAACAGTGATAATAATAGCAACAATAATGGTGGTAATAATAGTAAAAATAATATTATTAATAATAGTAATAATAATAGTAATAGTAAGAATTATACTACTTATAATAATTTTATTATTAATAATAATAATACTAATAATAATATTATTAGTAATAATAATAGTAATAATATTAGTAACAGTGATAATAATAGCAACAATAATGGTGGTAATAATAGTAAAAATAATATTATTAATAATAGTAATAATAATAGTAATAGTAAGAATTATACTACTTATAATAATTTTATTATTAATAATAATAATACTAATAATAATAACAATAATAGTATTAGTAATAGTAATAATCGCAATAATACTATCAATAATAATTATAAAAATAGTAGTGATAATAAAAGTAATAATAATAATGGTAATAATGGTAAAAATAATAATATTAATAATAGTAATAATAATACTAATAGTAAGAATTATACTACTAATAATAATATTATTAATAGTAATAATAATAGAAAAAATAATAATAACATTAATAATATTAGTAATAATAATAATAGTAATAGTAATAATGATAGTAATAATAATGCTGGTAATAATAGTAATAATAATAATATTCAAAATATTAATAATAATATTAAAAAAAGTAATAATAATGATAATGGTAGTAAATATACTATTAATAATTTTATCAATAATAGTAATAATACTACTAATACTAATAATAGTAAACAATTCCTTAAAGAACCTCTTCATCTAAAAGTGAATTCATTTAAATCTATAACTATTCATCATCTAAATGAAATGGAACTTTATCATGAACGTATAGAATGTCATCATGAAAGTAAAGCAGCTAGAACATTAACCATTATAACTAGTTGTTTTCTATTATGTTGGTTACCATTTTTTTTATATACATTAATATTACCATTTTGTTTAATTAAATGTAATAAATATCATTTTATTGAAAGTTTTTTATTATGGTTAGGTTATTTAAATTCATTATTTAATCCAATTATATATACAATATTTTCACCAAATTTTAGAAATGCTTTTAAAAAAATTTTATATCATATTTATTTAATAATTTTTAAGAAAAAAAAAATTTTTTTTTTAAAAAAAAAAGAAAAAAAATTATTTTTCTCAATGAAAAAATAAAAAATTTTTTTTATTTGTATTTTATTGTTTTTGGCTTCAAATAATGATTATTGATTAAAAGTGTGTGAGAGAGAGAGAGAGGGTGGGTGAGTGAGTGAGTGAGTGAGTGAGTGAGTAAGTGGATGAGTGAGTGGATGGGTAAGTGAGGAAATCTATAAAAATTGATTATGATCTAATTATGATAACTTGAATAAAATTTATGGAATCTAAACTGAATTATTTTTAACATTCATATTATTTTTTTATTATTATTTTTTTGGTTCCCAAATGTCAAGATGGGTAAGAAGAAGAAGAAGAAGTGGAGGAGGAGGAGGAGGAAGAAGAAAATAATTGCGTCCTGGATTCCACTGCTAGCCACTATCCATCTCTGCTTACCATGCTTGTGAATTAAGGTATATCGAGGCAATACGCACACTATGCACATATGCCAATTAGAGACTGACCAGTTGCAGTCCTTAACACATCGATGGGAAGATCCAAACAAACAATACTAAGTGAATTCAATTGTTTCTTTTGTTTAAAAATATTAGTCTGCTGGTTATAAGATGGAGGAAGTTATAATAGAACTTTACTAATAATAATAATAAATAAATAAGAATTACACATTTGAACTTAAATATTAGAAAAATAAAATGATTGAGATAATGTTGAAATCATAAGTCAATTGAAGCTAGACCATCATCGAAAACCTGGAAGCACTGAACGGCCGTTTCGTCCTATTATGGGACTCCTCAGCAGTGCGCATCCACGATCCCGCACTCGCGAGATTAGAACCCAGGAGTTCAACCACGTATATTGTGAGATAACAACTCACTGAAGGCAATTGGTGAAGTGTCGCTCATAATTCGTGGATCAGTTGAAGTCAGACATTAACAACGTTGGATGCCGGCCAGCTCAGTGGTCTATCGGTTAAGAGCTCTGGCTCGTAACTGGTAGGTCCTGGGTTTGAATCTCTCGAGTGCGGGATCGTGGGTGCGCACTGCCACTGAGGAGTCCCATAATAGGACGAAACGGCCGTCCAGTGCTTCCAGGTTTTCGATGGTGGTCTACCTTCAATTGACTCATGATTTTAACTTTATTGTATTTCACAAATAGATTTTAGATAATTGAAATTCTGTTATAAAGAAAACCTTGAAAAAGTAAAAAAAAAAAAACAGGAACATAAAATTGTTTAGTATGTAAATTTAAAGGTGCCTTTTTTTGTTTATTGTTTGTTGTTTTTTTTTAAATTTTTAAATTCTACATTGAAAGTGTCAGTTAAACTAACTGTCAATTTGAAACATCAAAAAGTAACAGATTAGTGGGATAATAAGATAAGTGATGAAATATGAATTATTGATTTATTTTTTTCTTCATTTTTTGTTGTTGTGAATATGTAGTTCCAAAGTGTTATCTATAATGTAAATTTTGCTAATATTAAAGTAGATTTACAAAGAAAGATACGTAATAGAGAAAGAGAGAGAGATACAAGTATTGATTGACCTACGATTGGAAATTACTATCTTACTTATGTGGAGAGAGAAATTGATGTCACCAATTAGCTATACTGAATGATAGTAAGTAAAGATGGATAGTGGGTAGCAGTGGAATCCAGGATGCGCGACAATTCGTCCTATTTAGGACTCGTCAGATGGATGTACATACATCTCAGATTTGTTGATATTCACTCTGGAACTCGAAACCAGTAACTTTCACTTCAAACGCAATTGCGTTATCCACTAAGCTATGGAGTTCTGACAGCCACTATCCAACATTTTTTATAAGGCTTGTCAATTAAGGCGATATCAAGGCAATACGCACAGTATACACATAAGCCAATTAGAGACTGACCAGTTACAGTCCTAAAAACATCAATGGGAAGATTCAAACAAACGATTTCAAGTGAATTTAAACTTCAACCCATTGCACATGCAAGTGGCTATCAGAACTCAGTAGCTGAGTGGATAACGCAATGACGTTTGAAGCAAAAGGTAATGGGTTTGAGTTCCAGAGTGAACATAAACAAGTCTGAGATGCAGGTACATCCATCTGACGAGTCCTAAATAGAACGAAACACGCATCCTGGATTCCACTTCTAGCCACTATCCATCTTTGTTTGCAATGCCTATGAATTAAGGTTATATCGAAGCAGTACGCACAGTATACACATATGACAATTAGAGACTGATCAGTTACAGTCCTAACACATCGATAGGAAGATTTAAACAAACGATACTAAGTGAATTTTAATGAATGATGGATTCAATAGGAAATTGTTTAGAAAGAGAATGGGACATTAAGCATATCCTTCGAATGATAGTGAAAATGATTGAAATACTTGAAGTGTTATTCGAATAGATTATTTATTTAGATCAAATAATGAATGATGATATCGTTGGAACAACATTAAAATAGATGTATTAATTGAAGCTTATTAAATTTATTCAACTAATGTAAAAGCACTGAGATCGTTGAAAATGGATGTATTCAGAACTGTTGGCTAATTATATACTTTGAGTTGATATTTTTCATAGCTCAATAATTTTCTCGTTATATATTGTTATAGATCAGAAAGGGTTTTGTGGAGAATTTAGTATTTTCACAGTTGAAATCATGAGTCAATTGAAGCTAGACCACCATCGAAAACCTGGAAGCACTGGACGGCCGTTTCGTCCTATTATGGGACTCCTCAGCAGTGCATGTTCATCTCACTGAAGACAATTGGTGAACGGTTGCCCAAAATCGTGGATTGGTTGAAGTTAGACATTAACACCGTTGGATGCCGGCTCAGTGGTCTATCGGTTAAGGGCTTCGGCTCGAGACCGGTAGGTCCTGGGTTCGAATCTCGCGGGTGCGGGATCGTGGATGCTAACTGATGAGGAGTCCCATAATAGGACGAAACGGCCGTCCAGTGCTTCCAGGTTTTCGATGGTGGTCTACCTTCAATTGACTCATGATTTCAACTGTGAAAATATATTGTTATTTCTAGAGCTTCGATTCTTACTATGCCGCGTACTACTAGACTACTTGAACGATCGAACCCGTAACGTCGCAAGAGAGAAGACAGAAGACTAGTAAGTAGGGAGTTTATTCCCCAAAACAGTGTCAAAATATAGTACAGAAATGTCATGTATTTATAGTTTTTTGGTTGAAAGTAAATCATCATTTCGGACAACCAATAGGCACATAGGGGGTCATTCTTATCCATCCAATAGGGAAGCTACACGTCGACATTCTAGAATATTCCCCTAGTAGTGATTAGATGGAATGTCTTCGGCTCTTTCTGGGCTTCTTGAGGCTTCCTAGAGTTTGCCAAATAGCCATCTTTACGTATATTCAATAGGGCCATGTTGAAATTACAGGTTTTATCAGTCAATATAACGGTCGTATAATACGTGCTGGTTGGGTTCGTGTATCATAGTAGATGGTATCTAAAATTAGTCTATACGTACCTAATAACATATCGTGAGTCAGTAAGGAATAGTCTCGTCTATGCCCTCAAATGTCCTGGTACGACCATGAGGAGAGAGTCTGCTCTTCCTCTCGAAGTGCTCTTACATAGCCCATGTGTTCAGTCATTATCAGAGAGGTCCTACTCATCGCCTTCTCTCAGCCTTACTGTTTTTTACAAAATTGGGAGGACGAAAAGCGAATGTCTAGAGCTTTAGCTGGGTTGACGGATACGGAGGGTCCACCTAATGGAATTAAAAAACCCTGATTCCAAACCAATGGTGCACATAGGCTCTAAAATCCTGAAATTTTTTAAATAGAATTGGTCATGATTTATCATAATACTTAAGCTATTAATTAAAAAACCCAAGTATATCCCATTACTTCATTCAACTTAAACCGATTCATAAAATACAGCACAGTAAAGGATCGTCAGTCCCTTAAAGAAAACTTTGATGACAATGTCGACCATTATATTTTTTTAAAAAAATTAGTTGACATATCAGGGATTATTAGAAAATTATGGATGTGCCAAAATATAAAAAAATTGTCTGAAATTCAAGGAACATATTTTGATAAAAGTCTTGAAATATGTGAAAGCACTGGGTGGCCGTTTCGTCCTTGTACAGGACTCCTCAGCAGTGCGAATCCACGATCCCGCCTCGAGAGATTCGAACCGAGGACTTACTGTCTCGCACGCGAATGCTTAACTACTAGATCACTGGGCCGGCATCCAACGTTGTTAATTTCTAACTTCAACCAATCCAAGAAATTGAGTGACACATCCACCATTGTCTTCAGTAAGTTACTATCTCACAACAGACCTGGTTGAACTCCACTGGTCACTACTTATCACTAGAACTCCAGGAAATACCTATTGAAGCCAGTCATTAGTGAGCATGTGTTGATGAATATCAGAAGGGGTTTTGTGGATATTATAGTAATTTCAATAGTTAAGATCATAAGTGAATTGAAACTAAACCACCATAGAAAACCTGGATGCACTGGACGTTAGTGGATGCGCACTGCTGAGGAGTCCCATAAAAGGACGAAACGGCTGTCCAATGCTTCCACGTTTTCCCTGGTGGTCTAGCTTCAATTGACTAATGATCTCAACTATTGAAATTACTATAATATCCACAAAACTCCTTCTGATCTCAAAATATAGTTTGAAAAGTTTGTTATGTAAAGCATTAAATCTACCCTCACTGTATTTATTCTCTTCTAACTGTTCAATAGAAAACTTCTATATATAATACAAGTGTAAATTCGAAATAATCTAACATATTACTACTATAGTGAATGAGAACACAAGTAGGGACAACCAAAATGTATTTGTATAGAAAATTGCGGAACATCTTAATAAAATCCAAGAACCATACAGTAAATACTTCATTTACAAAATGTTAATAAATCGTCCCAGATTTGATTGTTATTTCATTTCCATACAAATCATTCATTGTTCTAGTTTTCTTTTTTTTGATCTTCTTAAACTTCTGATGTCGTATATTTCGTTTTCGATTGATGATA